GGTGGGGTTGGGTGGGGGAGGGGGGTTATATACTTCATCTTACTTAAAAATGGCAGTTAGCTGTTAGCTGTCACATTCTCACTGAAAGAGACTATTACAGATTATAATACATAAGAATATACGTACCTAAAGAGAAAAGAAAAAGAAGATGCAATTGCATTCTTATGGATTCAATACACTTCTTTTGCCTTATTTCATCATGCATTAAGTACTTGTGCTGGAATGGTATGTTATAGCTTATAAAGTCAAAAATTGTTCAGAATCAGGCAATTATGACACATGGGGTACTTTGACATATATACAGTGACATTCAAAGCCAATATGAGAGGGTGGGATGGAGGACGGGTTGGAATAGAATGAATGTGCTAAAAGTATAACGTAACTATATATGCTTATAAAATGTTATATATATACATACATACGGGGAGGAGGGAGAATAGGTAGGACTTTAGCTCAAACCATGTATATGTGTTCGGATTTCTACTAAGCACGTACAAATACAAATTTATTTCTGAATCCATTTATTAGCACTTGTACATAGTTGTCCTAGAATTCCAAATTCATAAAGTTTAAATTTTAACTCAGTCATTGTACATATGCATCATACTTAACCTGTCACGACCCAATTTCACCTATAGGTCGTGATGACGCCCAACACTACAGTTAGGCAAGCCAACAAATAAATTAAACATATATCAATTATTTTCAGAATAATTTTCTAAGTAATTTTATTATATTTCTAGAAATATTAAAGAAAATTGAAAAGATACTAATTAACTTAGATCCAAGAAAATAATACAATTCCAAATTCTACCAATGTGTGTGCCAAGACCTGGTTTCACAAGTGTATGGGCATCTAGTAGATTATACAAAACTCCAAATACTGTCTGAAATAAAAATAGACAGAATAAAATGCAAGAAGAGACATTGGTAGCTGCAGAACGGCTCAGAAAGGCAGCTCACCACTATGCCCCTGGGTAACGTGGGTGTAAGACGATAGGTCTCCCACTAGTACTTGCCTCAGGTCCCGCACAAAAAGTGCAGCAAGTATAGTATGAGTATGTAAACAACGTGTATCCAGTAAGTATCAAGCCTAATCTCGAAGTGGTAGAGACAAGATGGCCGACTTTGACACTCACTATGGGTCGATAATAATAATTGAAATAAAACTAGAATATCTAAATCATCATGATTCATAAAATATAACAATAATTTATTTAACCAGCAGAAATAATTAACTTCCTTCAATTGCAACTATTCTCAATATATATTAAATTCCTTCAATTCCAATAAATTTTTAATTTATCAATTAATCTCATTTACATGAATAACAATAATTCCTTAGCAGGTAGGGATAATAATTCTTTAAATTCCAAAGATTTTCAATTTTTTAATTAGCTTCACAAGCTGCAATAAACTATCAAAGTATCGTGTAATTATTATTATTAGGCACGATTTCTGTCGAGGTCATACGGCCCAATCCAGAGTGTCGTGTACACTGCCGAGGGACGTGTGGCATGATCCATAGATGCATCTATCCTGCCGAGGCGTTCGGCCCGCTCCACAAGAAAGGAGGACATTTTTTTATGTACCTCCGGAAAGAGAGTATATTTATTATAAGATAAATTCGGGAGGAAGAACAATTTCTTTTAACAATTAATTAATTTAAATAGAAAATCAAGCATATGAGATTTTCATCCTTTAATATCTTCCCTAACAATTCACAATATATATATATATATATCAAATAATTTAATTAAGTAAAGAATATAATTTACACAAGTAATTCATACTCTTGAGTCCTAAACTACCTGGACTTTAGCATTAATAGTAGCTACGCACGGACTCTCGGCACCTCGTGCGTACGTAGCCCCCAATTATTAATTTAATCACCTATGAGGTAATTTCCCCCTCACAAAATTAGACAAGAGACTTACCTCGTCTTGCTCCAATTTAATCCACTAGTAGGCTTTTTCCTCGATTATCTAACTTTCATTGGCTCGAATCTAACCAAAAATAATTCGATACAATCACTAAAATTTATAGGAATCAATTCTATAAAAAAATACTATATTTTCAATAAAAATCCCGAAATTAATTTAAAATTTGTCAGTGGGACCCACGTCTCGGAATCCGGTGAAAGTTATGAAATCCGACAATCCATTCAATTACGAGTCCAACCATACCAGTTTCACTCAAATCCTACTTCGAATCGATACCGAAATCACAAAAATTCGTTTCTATGAGATTTCTAAAAATTTTCCAAATTTCAATCTCAAAACACTAATTAAATGGTGAAAATAATGATATATTTGTGTATATAGACCAAATCCGAGTTAGAATCACTTATCCCAATGTCTTTCCTTGAAAATCTGTCAAAAGTCACTTCTACTCAAGCTCAAGTTCGTCAAAAATGGCAAATGGGATGAAGTTCCCTCCTTTATAGATCTGCTCAGGCAGCCTTCGGAACTGAGCCTCGATCGTGGCTTCGATCATGGCCCTCGAGCCTGGGCCTCGGTCATGACCTCGATCATGGCATCGAGTCTGGGCCTTCGATTGTGACCCTCGATCTTGGGTCTCGACCCTAGCCTTGAGCCTTGCCTTCGATCATGGCCCTGATCCTGAGTCTCGTCCCTAGCTTCGACCCTGGCCGTCGACCCTGGGCTCGATATCTGGGCTCGATCTTGGGCTCGATCACATCCCAGAATATCCAGCAGAAAAGAAAAAAATTGCAGCAGCTTTTTAAGTCCAACTTTTGATTTGTTAACCATCTGAAACTCACCCGAGGCCCTCGGGACCTCAACCAAATATACCAACAAATCCTAAAACACCATACGAACTTATTTGAAACCTCAAATCACATAAAACGACACTAAAATCACGAATTATGCTCTAATTCAAGCTTAATGAAACTTAAAATTTCCAACTTCTACATTCGATGTCGAAACCTATTAAATCAAGTTCGATTGACCTCAAATTTTGCACACAAGTCATAATGACATAACGGAGCTATGAAAATTTTCAGAACTGGATTCCGACTCCGATATCAAAAAGTCAACTCCCCGGTGAAACTTCCAAACTTAAATTCCTATTTTAGCCATTTCAAGCCTAAATTAACTATGGACTTCCAAATAAAATTTCGAACATGCTCCTAAGTCCAAAATCACCATGCGGAGCTGTTGGAATCGTCAAAATTCTATTCCAGGGTCGTTTTCTCAAAATGTTGACCGAAGTCAAACTTTCCCTTTTAAAGCCAACTTAAGGAACCAAGTGTTCCGATTTCAACCCAAACACTTCGAAATCCCGAACCAACCATCCCCGCAAGTCATAAATTATTAAAAGCACATACGGGAAGTTTTATTTTTAGGGAACGGGGTTCTAAAAGTCAAAATTACCGGTTGGGTCATTACATTCTCCACCTTTTAAACAAATGTTCGTCCTCGAACGGGTTTAGAATTATACCTGAAGTGTTGAATAAGTGTGGATATTTGCTCCGCATATTTTCCTCGGCCTCCCAAGTCGCTTCCTCGACTGGTTGGCCCCTCCACTGGACTTTTACTGTAGGAATCCTCTTGGACCTCAACTGGCGAACCTGTTTATCAACAATGGCAACTAGTTCTTCTTCATAGCCCAAACTATTATCTAGCTGAACTGTGCTGAAGTCTAACACATGTGATAGGTCGGCATAATACTTCCGGAGCATAGATACATGGAAAACCAGATAAACTCCCGATAGATTGGAAGGCAATGCAAGCTCATAAGCAACATCCCCAACTCGTTTCAACACCTCAAATGGGCCTATAAACCTTGGGCTCAATTTCTCCTTTTCCCAAATCTCATGATTCCCTTCATCGGCGAAACTTTCAAAAGAACTTTTTCACCTACCATAAATGATAAATCACGCGCTTTCTGATCTGCGTAACTCTTCTATCTTTACTGCGCTGTACGAAGTCGCTCCTGAATTAACTTTATCTTTTCCAAGGCATCCTTCACCAAATCAGTACCATATAACTTAGCCTCACCGGGCTCAAACCACCCGATGGGCGAACGACATTGCCGGCCATATAAAGCCTCAAATGGAGCCATCTCGATGCTGGATTGGTAACTATTATTATAAGCAAACTCAGCTAAAGGCAAGAAACGATCCCACTGACCTCCAAAGTCAATCACACATGCCCTGAGCATATCCTCCAAAATCGGAATTGTCCGCTCTGACTGCTCGTCGGTCTGCGGATGAAAGGCTGTGCTGAGCTCTATACGAGTCCCCAATTCACTCTGTACTGCTCTCCAGAAATGTGAAGTAAACTGAGGGCCTCTATCTAATATGATGGAAATTGGCACACCATGCAACCGAACTATCTCCTGAATATATATCTGAGCCAGCCTCTCTGAAGTATACGTAGTCACAACCAGAATGAAGTCTGCCGACTTGGTCAACCTGTCGACAATGACCCAAACTGCATCAAACTTTCGTAAGGTCCGCGGAAACCCAACTACAACGTCCATAGTGATGCGTTCCCATTTCCACTCTAGTATAGTCATCTGCTGAAGTAGGCCACCTGGCCTCTGGTGCTCATATTTAACTTGTTGGCAATTTAGACATCTAGCTACATACTTGACTATGTCCTTTTTCATTCACCTCCACCAATAAAGCTGCCTCAAATCACGATACATCTTCGTAGCACCTGGATGAATAGAATACCGGGAACTGTGTGCCTCCTCTAGGATCTTCTTCCTCAGTCCATCCACATTAGGAACACATAGACAATCCTGGAGTCGCGAAACACTATCCGCTCCAATAGTAACTTCCTTGGCACCACCCCATAGTACTGTTTCTCAAAGAACCA